TTAAAGGTTCAGTAGAGCGCTAACCCCTGGCGGTTATTAAATTAATGTATTGTTTTCGTACAGCTCCTTATTRTCATTTCACATTCTTATATCCTATCTTTCCATCTATTTTGGTCTTGATTGTATCCACAAACATTTCTACAACTAGTAAGCAAATTCACCATTTTCCATACAACGGTTCACTGGTCAAACACAARGCATTCAGTTGAGGTTGCAAGATTCAAATTTGAATAATCCTTTGAAAGTACCTTGGCGCCTCGCTTGAGCACTTTGTGTTTGACCACTGAACCAATGTATGGAAAATGCTGAATATCTTAGTGACTCGTGCCATGTTAGCTGGTTTATGGCCACAGAAAGTCTCCGTCAACTTGCTAAATTTACCAGCATAGTTGTTGATTGAAGCCTCTTTTTTAAACTTACATGTTTAGGAGCCTGTAGAGTTCTTTGGGATTCTTTTTACTCATCCTTACTTCGATGACGTCCCAGAGGATATTTTCCGCTCAATGGTAAAGTACCTCGACGATAAAGACGTACAATCGCGATAAGAGATCAGAGAACATGGGAACCAGAGAAATTTCTTCGTAAATTTCCAAAAAAAGGTTGCGATAGAAAAGATTGCCTACGAAGTCTACTGAAAGTTTTGCGTGATTTCCGGGGTGCGATTCCTCATTTATTACAATTGCTAAGTGTTGGTGAGTTTCTCATGTTTTAATTTRTTTAGTTAGGAGATTCTAATGTGGCTAGCTTTTGAAATTCTAGTGAAAAAAAGTTTCGACTTTTCGATGACAACTTGTCACCATTAATAAGTAAACTGACGGAAAAATAGAGGAACTTAAAAAATGTCATATTCATGAGGACAAAACGAAGAAAATCATTAACGTGAAGGAGGTTTGAAAATGTGTTCCTAATTAGCATAACATTTGGGCAACTTWTGCTTTGAATTTCTCCATTATTAATAGTTAATAGTTTGAGAAGTCATATCAAGCACCGACACTAGAGAAAAATGTTTGCGCATGCGTGCATTTCAGCACGTTTTCTAAGAATTTTGAAGAGTTTGAAGTATACAAGAAAGTTCAAGAGCATACTTTTGTCAAACCAAGATACTGTATTAACAAACACAATATGAAAGAATTACCCTTAAGTTTCAAGCATGGACACTAAGTTTTGGCATTTTGTGAAGTCCAATTTATCAATTTATCAATTTATCCATGTTTGAAAGTCAAATTTACTCATGTTTTGGACTAATTTGCATACGGATTGAGAGCATGCGCAGACGATTTTCACTCGTGTCTTAAGCACTTGAAAGAGTGTTTCATCCCTTCATCCAAACACCTCGAAGTAGTTTTAAAAAAACTYGGCTCCGCATCGTTTTTTAAACTCATTTCTCAGTGTTTGGAAATCAGATGAAACATTCTTTCACGTGTTTAATATATTCCTTCTCTCTAGGTRAAGAGTTAGTCACCACGCCTCTCAAGGATAACCAAGAGCTCAAAGAAAAAACTATAGACATTGTTAGCAAAAACCCGAATATCTGCTGGGAGACATTGGCTGGTCATTTAAAAGTCGATGAAGAAATAGTCAAGAAATGTAGGGAAGATTACTCGGGAGATACACATAAAGTAACAAGCCAGATGCTCAGAGAATGGATCGAAACATCAGATGAGAGCTGTACATTAGAGATCATATTTGAAGCTTTACGGTTGTGTGGGTATAAAGAAACAGGGATAGAACTAGCCACCTATACGACGGAAAAATGCAAAAGTAGAATATACTAGCGCAGCTATTGAGCAGCTATTTTTGCTGGCCCTTGAAAAAAATAATAAGCAAAATACATGAGTAGACAATATAATTCCACTTAGCATAAACCTACTAGCATACTATCACGAATCCTGGAATCTGATTGGCTAASGTACTCACTATCTATCCTGTGATAGATAGTGAGTAGCGAAAAAACAAACAAGTGCATGGTCAAGTTTTGTTGAAATCTCTGCTTGTTTCTAAACATTTAGTCACTRTATATAAAAATCTGTTGTAGAAAAGACTAGGAAAGGAATTGAAGTTTTGGACGGTAGAGACTACAAAATAAAAACTGAGGAATATTTAGCAATTTTAATTTTAATTTTTTTTTCGCGCCTCATCGACTATCTATTGACTCATAGAAAACTCGACCTCGAAGTCTAATATGTTAATTAGACTTTTACGTCGAGTGTTGCTAATCTCTATATATTAGATATAAATTTTTTTTTCACGGGCCAAGTAAAATTATCTTAATTAATAATAGTGTTTCAGTCATAAGATGACGGATACAAGATTTTTGGAACACGAATTTTTGGAAAAAAAAATGCTTTTTTAAAAAACTATAAATGCTAAAACGCTAGGGCGAGGGTTGTTTAAGTAAGTAAGTATTGTAAAAGGATGTTAGAGGGTTAGTTGAGCGGGTTATTTAAAAATATAGTTAGAATTATTACAATAAATTAACCGAATGTAGTTAGAATTATTATAATAATAAAATAATATTATTATAATAAATTAATATCATTATAATGAATAATAATAATATTATTATTATAAAATTAATATTATTATTATTATAAATTAATATTATTATAATAAATTAATAAAATAATGTTACAAATGTAACAAATATACGAAAACATGAGTACCAACCTCGATCTGGTGCCATTGTTTGTTAACTCAAGCGAATTCTAGAAAAATGCTTTAAAAATTACAAATAGGAATTTGGCCACTTAGATAATCTCTCGTGATGATTGTAATAAGCAGGCTTTGATTTTTCACTCTTTATTTTGTTTTATTTATTTATTTATTTTATACATTTCAATGTTCCTTTCAAAACTAAAAGAATGGAATGGAAGAAGGAATCTAATTTTATAAACAGTTCTGAGGTTGAGGGCTAACTAGAAAACTTAACAGCTATTTTAGGCCCCATGCTTGTCTTTTTTCGAATTGTTATTGCAATAAACTATTGTATTGTATATTGTATTATTGTATTGCATATTGTATTGTATTGTACTATTGTATTGTATGTCTACGGGAAATGTCCCGCCGGAGGGGAGTCCATCCAAGTGGAAATTTTCCCCCGACCGGGAATTTTCCCGTGAAACCGGGATTTTCCCCCGGGAAATGTCCCCAAAGTGGGAATTTTCCCACGGGACAGGGAAATTTCTCGATATGACCGCGATAACAATGCTGAAAAGAAGGCACAACTCCAGGTTACCGTAAGATATGACATTAGTTTGAAAAGACATGTGTCCTTAGTTTTGATCCAATCGGTCTTGTCTCAAAGCGGTGATTCAATATTGCCAATCTAAGAGAGGAATAAGATCCCAAAGCTCAAGTTGACGGTGGACTGGGAAAAAGCAGACACAAACAAACGGAAGAGATTTACCTTTAGCTATAACATTTTCAGTAGCCGTTGTTAATTTATTCGATAAATAAGGGAATATATATATATATTCAGTTACCACGGTCAA